CCCCTTTTCCTCCCTCCCTCCCTTTCCTCCCTCCCTCCCTCCCCCTCCCTCCCCCCTCCCTCCCTCCCTCCCTCCTCCCTTTCCTCCCTCCCCCCTTTTCCCTCCTCCCCCCCTCTCCCCCTCCCTCCCTCCCTCCTTTCTCCCTCCCTCCCTTTTCCCCCCTCCCCCTTTCCTCCCTCCCCCCTTTCCCCCTCCCTCCCTTTCCCCCTCCCTTTCCCTCCCCCCCTCCCTTTCCTCCCCCCCCTTTCCTCCCTCCCTCCCTCCCCCCCCCCCTTTCCTCCCTCCCCCCTCCCTCCTTTCCTCCCTCCCTCCCCCCCCCCTTTCCTCCCTCCCTCCCCCCCCTTTCCCCCCCCCCCTTTCCTCCCTCCCTCCCTTCCTCCCCCCCCTCCCTTTCTCCTCCCTTTTCCTCCCTCCCTCCCTTTCCTCCCTCCCTTTCCTCCCCCCCTCCCCTCCCCCCCCCCTTTTCCCCCTCCCTCCCCCCCTTTTCCCCTCCCCCCTCCCTCCCTTTCCTCCCCCCTCCCTTTCCCCCCTCCCTCCCTTTCCTCCCTCCCTCCCTTTTCCCCCCTCCCTCCCTTTCCCTCCCTCCCCCCCTCCCCCCCTCCCTCCCCCTCCCCCCCCCCTCCCTCCCCTCCCCCCCTCCCTTTCCCTCCCTCCCTTTCCTCCCCCCCTTTTCCTCCCTCCCTCCCTTTCCTCCCCCCTTTCCCTCCCTCCCCCCCTTTTCCTCCCCCCCTCCCTCTCCCCCCTCCCTCCCTCCCCCCCTTTCCTCCCTCCCTCCCCCCCTCCCTTTCCTCCCTCCCCCCCCCCTTTCCTCCCTCCCTTTCCTCCCCCCTCCCTTTCCCCCTCCCCCCCCCCTCCCCCCCTTTTTTCCTCCCTCCCCCCTCCCTCCCTCCTTTCCTCCCTCCCTCCCCCCCTTTCCTCCCCCCCTTTTCCTCCCTCCCCCCCCCTCCCCCCCTCCCTCCCTCCCTCCCCTCCCTTTCCCCCCCCTCCCTCCCTCCCCCCCTTTCCCTCCCTCCCCCCCCTTTCCTCCCCCCCTTTTTCCTCCCCCCCTTTTCCCTCCCTCCCTCCCTTTCCCCCCTCCCTCCCTCCTCCTTTTCCCCCCCTCCCTCCCTCCCTCCCTTTCCTCCCTCCCTCCCTCCCTTTCCTCCCCCCTCCCTCTCCCCTCCCCCCCCCTCCCTCCCCCCTTTCCTCCCTCCCTCCCTTTCCCCCCCCTCCCCCCCCCTTTCCTCCCCCCCTCCCTCCCCCCTTCCTCCCTCCCTCCCTCCCTCCCTTTCCTCCCCCTTTTTTTCCTCCCTCCCTCCCTTCCCCCCCCTTTTCCTCCCCCCTCCCTTTCCCCCTCCCTTTCCCCCTCCTCCCTCCCTCCCTTTCCCCCCTCCCTTTTCCTCCCTCCCTCCCCTTTCCCCCTCCCTCCCCTCCCCCTCCCCCCCTCCCTCCCCTCCCCTCCCTCCCCCCTCCCCCCCTCCCTCCCCCCTCCCCCCCCTCCCTCCCTCTCCTTCCTCCCCCCTCCCTTCCCCCCCTCCCCCCCTTTCCCCCTCCCCTCCTTCCTCCCTCCCCCCCTCCCTCCCTTCCCCCCCCCCCCCTCCCTTTCCTTCCTCCCCCCATCCCTTTCCTTCCTCCCTCCATCCCTTTCCTCCCTCCCTCACGTGTTCCTTCCTCCTCCCTTTCCTTCCTCCCATCCCTTTCCTTCCTCCTCCCTTTCACCTCCCTTTCTTCCTCCCTCCCTCCCCTCCTTTCCTCCCTCCCTCCCACCCCCCACCCTATCTCTCCCTCCCTACCTACCTTACTCTCTTGTACTACTTCCCCACTGGTCACCCAAGGAAAGTTAGAGAATGGTAAAACCCCCCCCTTTGATCGCATAAAAAGTTTCTAAAACATAAAGAGAACTAACTAGTCCCTGCCCCATACCTTTCTGATTGACAGCTTCTGTTTCTGCTGCTAAACCCTCCTACTGTGAGCTGCAATGTCAGGGGGGGGCGCATGTAAGATATAAATGCACTAGGATTATCCTCAGATAAGGAAAGGTAAAGGAAGGTATTTTGTTTACTTTACAAGGCCTGTACATCACATAGTAACTGGATTTGGGACTTGTTTAGACTGGCATACAGAAGCCTTCAGTTGTACTTAAAAAAGAAAAAAAAAGTTTGGGCTTTACTTAAATGACATACAAGCGACAAGTCTACAGTTTGACACAGAAATATCTCCATTTGTCTTCATCTATTTCTATCACCCGCTGCTCAACAGAATTGTCTGTCTTTAGAAACACGAGGAATGACATTCTGAGATTTGCCCTGAAAATATTCTCAGTGTGGATCAGGGCATTGAGTACGTGGCCTTCATCTGTCAGGCCTCTCTCTGCAGTATATAAAAGATATAGGGCCAAAAAAGATGTCTTTTTTAATCAACTACCTGGGACGCTGTAACATGGTTCTCAGAAGTGGCAGCTATTGTGGCTGGAGACTGAAATTTTATGTGATGTCGTATCTGAGGTCTGTATAGAAATTCTTCGTTTTCATTGAGCGTCTCTTAAATAATGAATGTTAGCCTGAGTTCAGCGTAGGTGTAAAACTGCTCTGGGGACATACATTACTGTCACAGCAGCAAGCTTGTTAGTTCCTCAGAGACAAAGCCTCTGTCAGGCTGTCATTACAGAAAACATGGTGTATGCTGTTCCTGTGGATCCCTCTGTACTCAGGAGGCTGCCATTTTCTTACTGCATTCAATATCTGAGAGGCGGTAGTTTATCTAACCACTGGTAACCTGTGGCAGCATGTGGCCTCTGATCTCTGCCATTTGTATTGAATAAAATGCTAGTCCCTAAAAACAGTAACTTTGTAAATTCTAATGTAAAAAAACTTTCCATAAAAAATATATACATTTTTACAAATTAAAGTAGTTCTAAAGATTAAAGTTTTTTTTTTTTTAACCTTAGTGCATTCTCTGCATTAACTTCTTGCCGACCAGCCACTGCAGAAATACGGTGGCAGGTCGGCACGGGCTGGGCAAAACCACGTTTTAAAACGTGCTTTTGCAAAACAGGTAGGAGGCGCGCGCGAGGTGCACCACCTCCCTACCTGCACCGCCGATCCCGGCCGCGGGTGTAAGTCACCAGCAATCACTGACAGAGAGCAGGGCTGCAGTAGCTCTGCTTTCTGTCAGTTCCCTGACAGCTCCTGACATGCTGATCCGGAGAGAAGAGTTTATCTCTGCCGATCAGCGTGCAGTACACCACCCCCCCGCCTCCTAGTAAAATACTCCCCTCACACAGTTAACCCTTTCAGTGAATAAAAATGTTAACCCCTTCCTCCCCAGTGCCATTAGTACAGTGTCAGTGTTTTTTTTTTTTTTTTTGCACTGATCACTGTATTGGTGTCACTGGGAATGTCAGTGACCCCAAGTCAGTTCCCCCCCAGTGTCAGAATGTCCGCCGCAGTCCCACAGTCCTGCCACGCAAGTTTAAAAAGTGACAGATGTTCGGGAGGAGAACCACCCCCAAATGCTGTCATATGTGGGTTGGTTTGGGGGTGGCCCATTTTCACCATTTTACCCCCTAAATACAAATGTAACACGGTCCAAAAGGTGGAGTTAACTTTTTAATGGCTAGCTACACACAAGCAGATATCTTTTCTCTTTTGCATGATGAGGTTTGGGATGAGCATTTGGGATGGCCACTTCCATCCTTCACCAGCATTATAAGTGCCCTAGTAGGTGGTACAGCCCTCTTCTTACTTTCAGATGGGTTACAAGAGTCTGTAAAGTTCCTAGGTTAATATCCCATCTGATGTAAAAAGGAAGTTCTTTTTGGTCATTGAGGGGAGGTGTGCTTGATAATTATGATCGTGAAATAGCAATGACCAGGGGCGAACAGACAACTCATGGGGCCCCCGGGCAATAGGGGATCATGGGGTCCCTGTGTCCTTGCCCAAACTCAAAAAAGCCTATGAAAAAGGTACCAGGGGCATCTCATGGGGCCCCTACTACCCCGGGCCCTCGGGCAGTGCCCGAGTTTCCAAATGGTCAGTCCGCCCCTGGCAATGACCTTTAATAACAATAGCAACCAAAGACCAGGTTAGGGCTCGAAATCTGCACATTGCAGTTAAATTGTCCTGTTTGTGTTGCAGAAATGTATCTTACATATAGAGTTCAATGATTTCTTACAAAATATATACAAATATAACATGCACTTGAAAGCACAACATAACTTGCAGATGTGAACCAGGGGCTCACAGGGATCCAGTCAAATCAAATAATGCTGATTTCTGAGTTGTTGCTTGTTGGCCTATCAAATTTAGAGCACAGCTCCCTAAACATTTTCACGTTGTAACTTGTGTTCCTGTGCTGCCACTAAATTCAGTTGAATTGATTGGTCACATTTGTATAGAGAAAAATAAATATATATGACTGGCTGTGCTAATTATAAGTGGCTGATACTTTTTTGTGCGTTGTCCCTCTCCCATAAGAAAATGCAGTGTAAATGGGTTCTCCATGTTTCTTCCCTTGACATCCAGCAATTATAATATTTCCAGGCAGTTAAAATGATAGCATGTCTCTTTAGATGATGCTTTTATGAATACCAATGAACAAATCTAAAAGCACAGCAGACACCCTGATGTCTATTGTTTTATTATACCAAGCTAGTTATCTGGTTTTGATAGGTGCTACCACTGCGTTGCCTTGTTTAGAGAAACATAATGGCTAACGTATTGTTTGAAGTCAAAGAGCAAGAACAATTTCCTGTTGAAAAGCCTATGAAGGCATATAGATTCTAGGCACGTTTTATTTTGAGATAATGATTCCAGCGTGCAGAGTTGTTATGCAGTAAGAAGCAGCATGCTTATTAATTTTGTGAAATAGTGATCAACAGTGAGCCGTCTTATGCATTAATGATCCTGGGCTCTTTCTTTGTCCAGACTTTGGAAGCCAACTGGAAGATAATTCGTGACGAGGGGCTTGCTGTGCTGGATGAAGCTAAAGGCCTATTTCTGCCTGAAGATGAAAATCTGAGGGAAAAGGGAGACTGGAGCCAATATACATTGTGGCAGCAAGGTAAGTAGGAAAGAAAAATGCTAATGAAATTGATTTAAAAAAAAAAAAAAAAATGAAATAGATTTTTATGCATATGTGATAATGTTAGGTAAATTCAAAACCAACATATCTGTACTTAGTGGATGCTATCATACTTGATAACCCACAGCTTTTGGATTTTCTAGAGATATTATACTGTATCTCCACTTGAGTTCCCTAAAACACCCACCTTCTTTGCCTTACTATTACCGCTGGATCTACATATTTTTCATTATTTGGAAAAAAAAAAACAAAGGCACGAGGTAGGAAAGAGACTTCTTGGTCTGCAGTGTGAGAGCACAGCCAGGAACTTCAGATTTGAGATCTTACCGGAGGGAGTTCAAAGAGGGTGTTCAATGCAAGACTGTCTACCTGTAATTTGGATACATTTATTAAACCTAAAAGCAGGCACTTAAAGGTGGCTGCATATACTAAATTTTAGTCTCCAGAGCACCCCAGGAGTGCCCAAGCCCAGGGCACCGTGTAAATATCAATATCTCAGCTGGAAGATTAGCACTGTGCAACACTCTTGACTCTCTTGGACATTTTTATGTTGCTAAATACAGATGCGGGCGATGGGAGACTTGGATCTCCTGGTAGCTTCCATTTTATACAGTCTCTGGGGCTCCCAGAATAAAAAGAAATATGTACAGAGTAGAATCTTTAGCCATTTAGATAACTTTATCCACCTGAAAGATTCGCTTTCAGATTTCAGATGCGTCAGATTTACTTGGTTTCCATGCAGGTTTCCTTTACATTTTCCATTCACCCACTGACAAAAAATGGCCATGCAATTTATTAGATTGGCTACACAAACCTATGACTAAAGTGTGTAGAAGTTCAGTACCTAACCCAGATTTTTAGACAACAAATAGGGGTAATGAAGGTGGTAGTTTTATGACCATGTGTGCTGACGGACACAGGCAGCACATGACAGCCTGTTTGATAAACATTTGTTAATTAGATGTCATTTTGAAAAATATTAATGAAGCAAGATGGATTTTGAACCTGACCTACCTGAAGTTAGACATTTGTTCATGTCATTCTGAATGCTGCTGAATTGAAATGAACAAGGTCTGAATGATGTGAGACAAGTGGAGTTATAAACAGAGTCTTTCGTTCCATGAATGTTTGTCTTTTCTTTAGGTCGGAAAAATGAAAAGTCCTGTACCGCTGCACCTAGGACATGTGCTTTATTAGAAAGATTTCCTGAATCCATTGGATGCCGCAGGGGGCAGGTACAGTTCATCAGTCTTTTTCTCTAAGCCCAACAAATGTGGGTAAAGGCCCGGCTGGGGTGTATGGGGGTCTCTAATGATCCAAGATTTCAATACATTGTAGTAGAAACCACATCATTTGATATGCCCTATCATAATTGTATAATTAACTACCAAGATCCCAAAGTAATGGCATGCTAACTTCTGGAGTCCAGATTTTATTGAGTGTTAGCACTGCCACTGTATTTTAATATGCATGTTTTGAGCTAAGAGAACATATAGAGTAGCACTTGTTGAGTACACTGCTATATTTTGCAACAAAATGCTTGGTTCAGATCACATTTCTATTCCGCTCAAGCATTTAGTAATGACGGGCACTGCAGAGCATCGATTGCAATTATACACACACACCAGCCACTTTATTAGGTACACCTGTTCAATTGCTTGGTAGCACAAATTGCTAATCAGCCAATCACATGACAGCAACTCAATGCATTTAAGCATCTAGACGTGGTGAAGACAACTTGCTGTTCAAAAGTTCAAACCGAGCATCAGAATGGGTAAGAAAGGGGATTTAAGTGGCTTTGAACGTGGCATGGTTGTTGGTGCCAAACGAGCTGGTCTGAGTATTTAAAAAACGACTGGGATTTTCATGCACAACTATCTCTAGGGTTCACAGAGAATGGTTCGAAAAAGAGAAAAATATCCAGTGAGCGACAGTTGTGTGGACAAAAAATGCTTTGTTGATGTCAGAGGAGAATGAACAGACTGGTTCGAGATGATAGAAAGGCAACAGTAACTCAAATAACCATTCGTTACAAACAAGGTATGCAGAATACCATCTCTGAATGCACAACATGTCGAACCTTGAAGCAGATGGGCTACAGCAGCAGAAGACCACACTGGGTGCCACGCCTGTCAGCTAAGAACAGGAAATGGAGGCTACAATTTGCATAGGCCCAGGTATGGTAGGGTCAGAATTTGGCGTAAATAACATGAAAGCATCAATCTATCCTGCTTTGTATTATTATACAGGATATATATAGCGCCAACAGTTTGCACAGCGCTTTACAAAATGAGGTAGACATTACAGTTACAATACAATTTGGTACAAGAGGAAACAGAGGGCCCTGCTCGTTAGAGCTTACAATCTAGGAGATTTTGTATGAACTGTTCAGGCTGGTGGTGTAATGGTGTAGGGGATATTTTCTTGGCACACTTTGGACCCCTTAGTACCAACTGAGCATTGTTTAAATGCTATGGACTACCTGAGTATTGTTGCTGACCATGGTCATCCATTTATGACTGCAGTTAACCTATCTTCTGATGGCTACTTCCAGCAGGATAATGCACCATGTCACAAAGCTTAAATCATCTCAAACTGGTTTCTTGAACATGGCAATGACTTCACTGTACTCCAATGATCTCCACAGTCACCAGATCTCAATTCAACAGAGCACCTTTGGGATGTGGTGGAATGGGAGATTTGCATCATGGTTGTGCAGCTGACAAATCAGCAGCAACAGCATGATGCTATCATGTCAATATGGACCAAAATCTCAGAGGAATGTTTCCAACACCTTGTTGAATCTATGCCATGAAGAATTAAGAAAGTTCTGAAGACAAAAGGGGATCCAACCCGATACTAGCAAGGTGTACCTGATAAAGTGGCTGGTGAGTGTATATAGAGATCTGATCATCACATTAGAAGCACAGAGTGCTGTGTCCTAGCGAAGGGGTCATTGGTAGTATTCATGACATGACATTTCTTAAACTTTTGTCTTTGTGCTTAGATAAAATATTCTGTCATGCACCCTGGAACTCATGTGTGGCCCCATACAGGACCAACAAACTGCAGACTGCGAATGCACTTAGGACTGGTTATACCAAAGACCGGTTGTAAAATAAGATGTGCCAATGATACTAGGTAAGAGTATAATGTTATATTCACATGCCTTATATTTGTAGTTCTAAGTTTGATCTTTCTATTTTTAAACTTCCTGAAAAACTATGTTGTATTGTCAGTTAAGAATAGGTCATTACAAAAAGAATTTAGCATGAAGAACCGAGCTGTGATAGATGATGCAGCCATCATGGAGCTTGGGAATAGACATCCTAAATTATTCTCATTGAATAGCATTTAATTGCTGCTTTTAGTTTAGTGTATCAAGACTCCAAAAGCTCCCCAGTCCATTTTGGGGTCCCTGTATTGTATCTGTTCAAATATGCATGTCACAGAACAACACACAGTTTCAGGATCTCTCCAAGTTCCTTAAAGTGTTACTAAACCCAGGACCCTGTATTCTGCTCCAGAGCGAAGTAAATTATACTTAAATTTGCAAAGAATACCCAATCACATGCAAGGAAAAAAAAAAAAACAATATTTTTGCTTGCACATGATTGGATGATGAAAGTCAGCAGAGCTTTCCCAGTTACTAAGCTCTGGAGCAACTGCAATTGCAAAGTGCACAGTCTATTTGCCTTTAGTAAATCAAGCCCCTATGGTGACACTTGTAGATTGTTTTTTTATTCAGCAGGAATTCCTAAATCAAAGGCAAACTGACAGTTCTTGGTCCCAATAATACTTAGAATTGCAGCATAAAAATGGCTGAGCACCTCTGATCTAGTCTACAAGTATGGTGATACATATGAAAAAAAAAAAGAATTAATTTAATAGGTCATTTTGGAAAGAAAGGAGAATTGTCTTAACATTAGTGCAACATTGCATTGAATTCGCTGCAGTGCTTTTATTTTTTCCCTTGTGTGTACTTTTTTAAACTTTTCCCATATTTTTTCACTTCGAGAAAAAGTATATATTTTTTTTATTAGCATACACTGACCCGTAGAATGGTGAGATGTCTTGCCATTCAATAGCATATCTAAATATTTCTGATTCCTTCCATGCTATCATCTAATCTTTTAGTTTTGTGGTATTGCAATAGTAAACTTCCTGCTGCTTTGTTTTTTTTTATTTCAGGCATATATATATATATATATATATATATATATATATATATAGTAGTTTTTGTTTAGGTTTTTTTTCAGTTTTAAGCAGAATACTGTATGTGACGGTTGCAGAATTTGTTTTTTTATGCCAGCAAAAAAAAGGGCAATTTTCTACCACTTGGTAGATAGATCTAGATAGATAGCTAGCATTACTCATACTTGATATAGTAATTATTGCTTCTCAGTGCCACAAGGAGGATATCCAACACACATAGAGATTCTTACTTTATAAATGGAACATTCTGTAATTTTTATGGTCACCATAGCATTTAAACCTCCATCCTAAGGGCAGTCCCACAAGTGTAATTTTAACACTTTAAATAAGTTGTCATCACAGCATGCTAATTGATTGCTTGAGTTAGAGACTCCTGCATGCATTTACACAGTATATATATATATATATATATATATATATATATATATATATATGTGTGTGTGTGTGTGTATATATAACGCACACACACACTAACACCTTAGCAGTTCCTCTCACTTTAACTAAGGGGCCAAGCCCAACCCCTGAAAAACAACAGTAATCCCCCCGCCACCAAACTTTATACTTGGCACAATGCAGTCAGGCAAGTACCGTTCTCCTGGCAACCGCCAAACCCAGACACGTCCATTTGATTGCCAGACAGAGAAGCGTGATTCATCACTCCAGAGAACACGTCTCCACTGCTCTAGAGTCCAGTGGCAGCGTGGTTTACACCACTGCATCCGACACTTTGCATTGCACTCTGTGATGTGAGGCTTGGATGCAGCTGCTCGGCTACGGAAACCCATTCCATGAAGCTCTCTACGCATTGTTGTTGTGCTAATCTGAAGGCCACATGAAGTTTGGAGGTCTTTAGCTATTGACTCTGCAGACAGTTGGCGACTTCTGCGCACTGTGCACTTCAGCATGCGCTGGCTGAGGGGAGGGGGGGGGGGGGGGGGGGGGGGGGAGGACCGCTCTGTCATTTTATGTGACCTACAACTTCGTGGCTGAGTTGCTGTTCCTAGTTTGTTTTAATACCACTAACAGCTGACCATGGAATATTTAGTAGCAAGGAAATTTCACGGATAGACTTATTGCACAGGTGGCAACCTATCACTGTACCACGCTTGAATTCACTGAGCTTATGAGAGCGATCCATTCTTTCACAAATGTTTGTAGAAGCAGTCTGCATGCCATGTGCTTCATATTATAAATGGAGGTGATTGGAACACCTGAATCCAATGATTTGAGGGCAACCAACACACTGTGTGTCTACGAGGTGTAGAAGAAACCATACACAATGAAATCAGCTCTGGTTTTTCCTACAGCATATGGGTTGAGCAAGCTTTAAGGAAATGTTTTCATATGATATTGTTATTTTACAGGAGTTGGGCAGAAGGGAATGTGCTGATTTTTGACGACTCTTTCGAACATGAGGTGTGGCAAGAAGCGGACTCCTATCGGTTAATATTTATTGTGGACGTTTGGCACCCAGAGCTTACACAACATCAAAGGAAGACTCTGCCTGCCATTTAAATGTGATGTGAATGGATTTAAAGAGCATAATCAGATGAAGGAAATTTGTAAAGCACTAAACACACCCTGATATCACTGTTACACATGTACAGTGTGGGTATTCCTGATATTTCTTGTATATACAACATCATTTTTGTGCCAGATTTCTGTTTGGTGATGGTTTTATAGTACAGTTTCTTTGAATTTATGTTCACTTATACTACTATTCTGAAAAAGGTAAACCACTATTAATTGTTCTGTAATACTTTTTTAAAACCTGCCTCAATGTACTGAACTATCAGCACTGTATTCTCTTTCAAACATCACTATGTACTGAGCAAACATTTTTATATACTGAACAAATTGTACTATATGGGTTAAATATGAAGAAAGTCCTGGTTGTACAGCTGCTACTTTGTTTATTTGAATAAACCTGGAACTGAACTGTATATTTTCACTAGATGGGCGCGAAAGCGGTTCTATTGGTGTTGGGTGAATGCTGTTAAAGTGCCTGCTGGCTGGATGGAAATCTATCTGAAGATCACCTTGCTGGATTTTTCTCCACCCTTGCTATGGCCTTCTTTTCTAGCCCATTGGGCTTCAGGCCACGTGTGGTATCTAAGTTTGGTTTTCTACATTTTGTAGTAAGTAATATTGAAATTTTCCATTGAGAAATTGTGGCTCAATTGCAAAAAAAATGCTTGTGTCTCTTTTACACAATAGAGTCAGCCATTGTGTAAGTTGCCACTTTGAGCCTACATTTTATCCCCCTTGCTCTTATTTAGCACATACACTTCCCTAGCTGCACGTATTATAATTCTAATAAAATAATTCACTAGACATACAGTATGTACTCCATAATTCCTTCATTCCTTTTGAAAGAACTGGTGTTCTACACTGTTGCGGAAATAGATTTAGTGACCTGCAATACACTATAATCTTTAAAGAAGAGATCATGCCAGAAGATGAAAAAGTTTGTGCACATCACATATGATCCCATTTAAATCTATGCAGGGACTTTCAAATAAAATGGCATTTTTTAGTGCTGGCTGTAGCTGCACCCCAAGCTAAAGCCCAAATTATGGGCATTCCTCTGGGGTGTTACAGCCAGCATTGAGCCACCGCCCTACAGTGTACACAGATCCCACACAAACCCATTCCCTTCTCTGAAAGCTGCCAAAAGAAAAGGGGAAGTCTGAAGCGCTGCTCTCTGATAATAAAACCCTGTGCCTCTACTTCAGTCTTCCTTTTTACTGCAAAGAAAGATTACAGACCAAAGAATCTGCTAACCTTGACCCCTTTTAGATTGGAGAAGAAACAGTACAGCTGTAACTTTTAGCAACTTTGTGCTCTTCACAAAGACACTAGCCCGCAACAATCCACACCAGCTACTTCACTAGTCTAGTCTACTGTAATAACTGGTGTAGGTTATTGTGGGCTTGTTTTTTTTGCGAATTACTGCTCTGCTCTCCGGTGTGGTAATTCAGAGTCCTCATGCACATGGGACGTTTTGATAACACTGGTAATGTTAGCTGTGTAAAATCATGTTAAAAACATGAGTTTTTCAGCTTTTTTTTTTTTGTGGTTTTGCATTAGCGTTTAGCGGAGTTTTTCGTGTTTGCATTTTTAGCATTTTTTTTTTACCAAAAAAAAAAAAAAATTGGAGGGGGGGGGGGGGGTCAAAAAAAAGTCCAAAAATGCCAGTTTGCAGTGTTTTTACTGCGTTTTTTCAACGTTAGAGCTTTTTTACAGCTAAAAAACTCCACTAAAAACCCACTAGTACTGGGTTTTTTATTCCATCCAAAAAACGTCCCAGCCAAAAAACGTTGATTACAGTCTATGTGTGCGTGGGCACATAGGATAACATGCTGGGGGGTTTACTAGCTGTAGAAAAAAACGTCAACAGCCAAAAACATCAAGTGTGCATGAGGACTAAATCTGTACTGTTTCCTCTGATCCAAAACAGGTTGCAGCTTGTGGGTAGGCACTTTGGTCTGTAATCATTAGCTTTCTTTGCAGTTAAAACAATATTATTATTATACAGTATTTATATAGCGCTAAAAGGTTTGCTCAGCGCTGTACATTATAGTGGGGGACTGTACATGAGACAAACAGTAACAATACAATACACGAGGGGGTCAAGGGCCCTGCTCTTTCGAGCTTACAATCTAGGATTGAAGTAGAGGCATACAGCTTTACTATTACACTGCAGATTTCCCCTTGTTGTCTGGCAGCTTTTAGGGGGCAAAGGGGTGGGGTTGTGCAGGCTCTGTGTACACCCCTCTCCTCTGCACTGTCAGTCAGAGCTCTGTTGCCTTCATTCAGCATTGCCAAATAGGGAGTTTCAGAAAGGGGGAGATGCTCAGGAACCCCTGCACAATTTTGAATGAGACCCAGTACAATGTGCACCGATTCCCCTGGAAAGGTTTAACAAGCATTTTCATCTTTTAGCGAGACTTCTTTAAGTTACATCAAGACCACCGTGTTTAGGCAGGTAAACTTCTAGCCATATTTTCCTGCACCTTTGCTATATGGCCCTTACCTTGAAAGTTCATATACTGACATAAATATCTATGACAATTAGGAAAATGTCTTTTTTACAATTGTGAAAGTACAGCAGAATATTTGACAGAGTTTTATCATTGTCCTTTACATTTCTGCAGTTTTTTGCTCTTCATTTTCTTTAAAATGTAAATTGAAATTCATCCATTCTCCCAGCTACAGAGAATTCTGAGAAGTGATTATAAGCCATACCAGGGTCAGTGGATTATCAGCGCATTTAATACCTGGACTGACCTAAAGCTACCTCATAGTCATTCACACAACCACCTGATGCTACTTTTGACTACAGTTAATATAATTGCCTTTAAATGATGAAACCAAGTTGGCATTAAGGATGCATGTGAAATAAAAAGTTTCACATTTTTTAACCTTTTTCGGCTTAAATGGCAACTTTTATACATCGTCTACTTTAGAGTGTAAAAGTTGCATGTAAAATATTTTTGCTTTCATTTCCTTGTTCCTTTTGCAACTTGTCCCCCAATCTTCCTGAGAATAAGCGGCTTTCTCGTGGACCTCTGTGGGACTGATTTACAGTGGCTGAAAGCTGGAGCAAAAATGGGACAGTATCTTACAGCAGCCAGTCATGTTTCATTGTTTGCTTCAAATTCTTGTCCTGGGTAAATGCTGCAGTTTTCTTTGCTCTGTCTTTGCTTGTGTTCCCCAAGGCAGAGAAAGACAGGCACCCTAACTGACAGTACCTGGAAGTCTCACTAACCAGATGGATTGGAAACAAGGATATTAGGTTGGGTGTAATGTACACAATACAATCTTCTAAACCCCAACCCACTAAACTTTGTCATCAATATCTGTGCCTATCCTTATGAACTTTATAGAAATCAGTTTTTGAGTGTTTTTCCTTATTACTGTATTAGATATTAAGCAGTCCATCACTTCTCGGCCTTTTGGCTAAGATCAAGTGTAGATATTAAGCATTCCAACATATCATGATGTTTCCATGCCATTTCTTAATAGTATGTTTAGCATTTGATTATGTTTTTAGCTGTTACAGCCAAGTTAGATGAGTAAATAGATGTGCAATCCTCTGTAAACATGTTGCTCTTCATTAAATATCCTTGTGCCTTATGCAGCCACTTACATATAATTAGGTATTGCTTTGGTTTAATGTTTGACATACAGTTTATGTTTATGTATCCTAATGACTCATTATAAATATGTATGGGATGCTTTTTCTAGCAGATCTTTTTGTTCATGATTTTTTCAAGTGAGGTGGTTCACACATTAGAATTTGTTTTGATACAGTATTTTTTTTTGTGTTTATATTCCCAAACCTAAAATACATTTTGAAATATACTCCCATACTCTTCCCTATTCCAGCCAACAACAGTTGTACATCTAAAACACAGTCAGAAACCCTTAGGTGCTTAAATGATGGCATAGGCATGGTCAGAAACCCTTAGGTAGCCATATGATGGCATTAGTTGGGTAATTCCACAAGTAAGATACTATCAGTTTGCTTAAGTTACATAGTTAATCTGGTTGAAAAAAGACACAAGGCCATCCAGTTCAACCAACAAAGTGGCACCCATTATTGTATTATGACTACAATACAGGCATGGGTTTGCAGTTGGGGCAGAAAACAGCCAAAAGTTAAGCAGGAGGGTGCAGTTTTCCTATTCTGAACAAATATTTCTGCTGGCCTGATTAATATGCATGTGATTAATTCCCATTTCTGGTTCTGAGCCCAAACATGCAGTGATATGAGGCCTAATTAAGCACTAATTAGTATAACGTTTTCTAAGTGCTTTCTCTGCTTAATTAGGTAAATTTAGATGTTATTAAAGCACATTGCCATTACTTTTGCTGTATTGCATTGATATTTGATAGCATTTGAAGTGCTGTTACAGATGTAGTTAGTTTAGAGTCCTTTCATCATGTTTTTGCTTTAAATAAAGTTAATTACTCCTGTAAAAATAATTTTCTATATTAATACCTAGACAATTGAATGTCTGCTTGAGAGATCTCTAACACACAGTAATGTCAGTGCTTTCTAATTAATATATATCAAGCACCAGGTTATTTTATGTCAGCTGTCAGACTGCATGATCCTTCCTAACGAATAGTTCATAAGTGGGGTTTTATATAAAGATATTTTATGTAACACCTAATAGATTATTGCAACAGGAAATGTCAGTCAATAAAATAGACAAGAAAAAATGAAAGAAGAAATATAAGTACATGTTGAGTAAGCATTTTGTATAACGCATACAGTGCAAAAACTTTGTTGCTGGCTGACCATTGCAAATTCCAAAGCGTAGATAAGGTAGGTTATACTTCAGCATGAATTTTTTTGTAAATGTGAGAAAGGGTCTAAAGTAGGGATAAGGAAAATTAAGCATTTTATCATTTCCCCATGGAGTAGATGACATGAATGTGGTTTTCAAGGGTTTTAAATGGATTATGGATTATGGAAGATGCTTTAAATTATCCTGGATGGATGT